CAGCCAGGTGACATCATTGATGGTGTCAAGTGTGGCGGCGGTAGTGAGGTTGGCCCAGGATCGGACATTGTTTCATTCTGCTGTGCATTGGGTCGCTATGAGTCGGTTCCGACTCGATGGCACCTGACAACAACCCTTGCTATAGAGGAAGGAATGCAAAGGCTTCAGGAAATTGTCATGTTAGAGTGGATTTATCAGGAGAAACGCATACACCCACACATGGAGTGCCCAGAGGACACACCCTTCACCACAACAATGAGAAACAAATTTGTGAAAGGAACCCTAGCATCCTTGAAGACTGCTATGATTGCTAAATTATGTAGACAGGATGTGACAGTGGGAACTGCCCTAACTGAATTCAGACATCTAACCACATGGGGCTAACCCCATGGTGTGGTAGGAGCCCAGTGGCAGCACTTAATCAACAAAGAAAAAGTAGGCGTGGTTACCATAATGGACAGCAGAATCAAAACAGTAGTCAGAATAGTCTCATTCCTGTGGCTTAATGGCATTGGCTAATTAGGCAGGATGTCCTTAGGAGTGACATATTTACTTGATTTGTACAAGAGGAAGAACTCTGGGTCAAGTGAATACCAGTCTAACTTGAATCACCAGAACAGTATGTCATGGCCTCTCAATCAAATCCCAGGCTTGAGCCAGTTTACAGACCTACAATCTCTTGAATGACGGGATGGCTGGGTCCCCTTGAGGAAGGACCCCCACTACGCTGCCAGTGTTAGTCATTCTTCCAGCCTTCTTCAAAGGGATCTATGACCTTTTTATTAGAGAGACTGTTTGTTACGGGAAAGGAAATAATCAGACTTTTGGGGGATTACTGGACACGACTCTGAATTGATACTAATTCCAGGAGACCCAAAACTTCACTGTGGCCCACCTGTTAGAGTGAGGCCATATGGAGGTCAAGTTATTAGTGGAGTCTTAGCACAGGTCTGTCTCACTGTGGGTTCAGTGAGTCCCTGAACTCATCCTGTGGTGATTTCCCCAGTTCCAGAATCTCTGGTAGCGTAGTGGTTACGAATCAGGCTGCGAACCTTAAGGCCAGCGGTTCGAAACTACCAGCCGCTCTGCAGGAGAAAGATGAGGCTTTCTACTCCCGTAAAGATTTACACCCTCGGAAACCCTGTACAGGGTCGCTATGGGTCGGAACCGACTCAACAGCACACAACAGCAACAACAAGAATGCATATTGGAATAGACATACTCAGCAACAGGCAAAACACCCATGTTGTCGTGAAGTGCTATCGAGTTGATTCTGACTCATAGCGGCCCTGTACAGAGTTTCCTAGGAGCAGCTGGTGGGTTTGAACTCCCAACTTTGTGGTTTGCAGTTAAGTACATATCCTAGAGTGCAACATTAGGATCACAATGGATCCCTTAAATGTAGAATAAGGACTGTTATGGTTGTAAAAGCCAAGGGGAAACCATTAGAAATACCTTTACCTAGCAAAGTAGTAAACCAAAAACAGTATCACATTCCTTGGGGAATTGCAGAGATGAGTGCTGCAATCAAGGATTGAAGGATACAGGGCTGGTGATTCTCACCACATCCCCATTTAACTCGCCTATCTGGCCTGTGCAAAAAAACAGATGGATCTTTGAGAATGACAGTGGATTATCGTAAACTTCACCAGGTCATGACTCGAATTGCAGCTGCTGTTCCAGATGTTCCTTTGCTTGAGCAAATTAATATAGCTCCTGGTACCTGGTATACAGTTATTGATCTGGTCAATGCCTTTTTCTTGATTCCAAATTTTAAGGATCATGAGAAGCAGTTTGCTTTCATCTGGCAAGGCCAACAATACATTTTCACAGTCTTACTTCAAGGGTGCATCACCTTTCCTTCACTATGTCATTATTTAGTCCTCAGCGACCTTGATTTCCTTTCCCTGCCCCCAAACATCACACTGGTCCATTGCATTGATGACATTATGCTTATTGTTTCTAGGAAGGCAGAAATATCAATGACTCTAGACTTAATTGGTAGAACATCTGTGTATAGAAAGTGGGAAATTAATCCAACAAAAATTCAGGCATCTTCCACCTCAGTGAAATTTCTAGGTGTTCAGTGGTGGGGGGCATGTAGAGATATTCCTACTAAAGCAAAAGATAAGTTACTGCAACTGGCCCCTCCAACATCTAAAAAGAGGCACAATGCACAGTGGGCCTCTTTGGATGTGCTTCATAACATTTTTTAAAAATGAAACATAACTGTATAAATAAACAAAAGCTACTCTCCTGATATGGCATTGTAGGATAAGCACTGGACATGATCTGTAGTTCAAGTCCTCCAGCTGCTCCTTAAAAACCATGCACTGGGTTGCTATGAGTCGGAAACGACTTGATGGAACTTAACTGCAACAACTGACAATTGAAAATTATAAATGATTGCAAGATATTTGCAATTATATAGTGAATCAATGGGGAAATATTTTATTAAAATTTGATTGACTTACACAAAACTGTAGAAACAGTCCTTTGACAATGCAAGTGAAAATTTAACTTCTAGAATTTCACAAAATGAGAGTAAGAATTTAAGATCATGTCCTAATTATAGGAATGCTTAGTGTGGTAGGGGTGGTGGTTATGTGCTTTGGAGTCAGTTCTGACTCATAGCAACCTTGTACAGGTTTTTCTAAGGCTATAAATCTTTACGGGAGTAGAAAGCCTCATCTTTCTTCCGTAGAATAGCTGGAAATTTCTAGCTGCTGACCTTGAGATTAGCAGCCCAACTCAACCACTATGCTACCAGAGCTCCTTAAGAAAGTTAGATTATATTTAGGTATTACAGAATAAACTCTTCTATGAGAAGAGAGACTGAAGTAATTTTTATGGAAATTGATATTTTGTGTCATCACAAATTCCTTTCACATTAACCATGAGGTTCTCAGAACATGCTTTGTTTTGTCTCACTGATAGGTTCCTGGTGTATAATTATAGGGCAGTTATATTGTTGATGGTTTTCCCTTGTCTTTTATTATAATGTAAACGCTCTTTCTGATATCCTATTAATATGACTTTCTTTTTTTATAGAGGTACACATGATCTCTTATATTTGTAAAATACTAAAACATGCTTCCTTATTTTTTCCGTATCTCTCTTTTTAAAAAGCTTCATGTGAATTGAGTGAAGGATTAAAGACAAGATCATTCCACGAATGATACACTTTGCTTCATTTCAGTGATTGCAGTCCCTCCGTTGCCCTTTTCTCTTGTATTCTCTGTCTTTCTTCTCTTTCCTGTCTCTTTCACCTTTACTGTTGACCACCTCACATATTTAAAAACAAACATGAGAGCTATTTATTCGAAGTTTAATTTGTCAGGAAGATTTGAGGTCAAGGAAAGAAACTCCTCAATAGGAAAAAAATGGCCAGAGCTGCAGGTGATGGTACATTAAAATTCATTTATGAAGAAGAGATGACATGACCTGTAGTGATTATCTTTGCTCTTGAACACTTTAAAAAGCTCTTTTGCATGTCTAATGCGTCATGTCCTTTGATCTTTTGACTGCTACTTCTGTGAAAAATGTTTTGGAATTAATCAATCTGATGTGAGGATAATAAATGTAAACTTGTAATATTATTGCAAGAAGCCCTGTTGGCACTGTGGGCTAAGCATTGAGCTGCTAGCCTGGTCTCAGTATTGGGCTACTTATCACAAGGTCAGTGGTTCAAACCCACCAACTGCTCTACGGGAGAAAGATGAGCTTGGCTGCTCCTGTTATTTACTGTCCCAGAAATCTTATGGATTGCTGTGAGTTGGCTTCACTTGATGGTCTGGAATTTTAATGATATTGTGCCCTGGACCTTTTGAAGGATGCCATCCTCTATGAAATCTACTTAGTTTCAGATAGTATTTTTCTAATTTTAACACATTTATAAGCACTTTGGAGTCCTGGTGTTGCACTGTGAGTTAATGTACTGAACTGCCAGGTCAGTCTGAACCACAAGGTTGTCCATTCAATCTCACCAGCCATTCCTCAGAAAACCCTATACAGGATTGCTATGAGACGGAACTGACTCGATAGCACTTAACAACAATAAGCACTTTATTGTCAAGGCAACAACGTGGTAGAATTTTTCACACTTTTAAAAAGTTACTGGGCCTTCAGAGCAATGATTAGTGAAGGGTTGGTATATTTTCTAACAACTTTTCCTGTTTTTTCATTTAAAATATTTCAAGTCTACATGTATCTAAATGTGATGTTTTTAAAAATGATTTTCTATTACATTTTCTGAAAAAGAAAACAAAAACACAGAATTAGGAAACTTGATGTTTTATCTTTTTGTTTTCATATAACACTGGGGACTCATTTTGTTTATAACTCTTTTCAATAGAAAATATGTAAAGCTAATAATGTTACTCATACAATTTAAAGTAAGAAGATAACAAAATTAATCAGCATATACTTTCTTGGAACTTAGGGCTTAGAGTCTTGGCTCTAATTAACCAGAACTTGAACTCTAGTTCTTTCTCCAAAAAGGGAAAATTGCTGAATAGAGAGAATACTGACACCTGGTTTAGGTAGGAATAACCTAAGGTTTGATTCACGAGTGCCGAAAGTTCAAATGTAAACAAAGTCTAGCTTCTGCAACATAAGGCATACTTTATTATGTCTGGAACATAGTTTCTATCTCTTCTGTTTTCTTGATTTAACTCCCTCTGTAGTACCCTTCTCCCTTCGATTCACTCCAGGGCTTCTTAATTCAGTTTGTCATATCAATTCTAGTGTCTCACAAAATGCACACACATATACATGCTGAATGCCAATCAAAATGACAAAAATGGTTCTTAACTGTGGGGACTTGGTAATGAATAAAACAAAACAGTCAAAACTCTCTATATCCTAGTAAGGAAGATAAATTATATATCAAATAATAGATATTTTAGTTGGGGAAGAGTGCGAGTGGGATAGTGATGTAGATGGGTGAGGTGTTGCTATTTTGGATACCTTGGTCATGCAAAGTTGGAATGAAGTAAGGGAGCAAAAAAAGTTGGAAAAATCGCTCTAAAAGAAGGACCAGTGAGTAAAAAGGCTCTAAGGAAGAAAAGATCTTGAGCTTTTACCAGAATAAGTGATATTTTTCTTTTCTGTGTTTTTTAAAAGACTAATATCCTTAATCACCACTTATCAGCTTGGCATACTGTGGTAGCTTGTGTGTTGCTGTGATTCTGGAAGCTATGCCACTAGCATTTTAAATACCAGCAGGGTTACCCATGATAGATAGGTTTCAGGTGAGCTTCCAGACCAAGACAAGACTAGGAAGAAGGAGAGACAGACTACTTCTGAATGTTTAGTCACTGAAAACA